CCTGCTTAGGCGTTCCTACACCACGAGCGCACTCAATGACTTCACCAAGGTTTTCATTCATAATGAAGCTGCCGGCGATGCAGCCATCGCTCAGGTCAACGATGCTATGGTGGAGGAGGGACACAAGTCGAAGGAAGTCGTGGAAGATGCAGACCGTTTGTCTGAGGTCTCGCCAGCACAAGACTCCTTGTTCTCGGAGCCGCAAAGATCAGCGACACCCGCCAGCGTCTTCACGCCTCCGGAAAGCCTGGAGTCATATGCGAGCTCGGAAAGCCAAGCATACACCGACGAAGTCCTCCAGCTCAGCGCACAGGGGCGTCACCATGAGGTACCAGCTGTCTTCCAGGCCATGTTGCGCGCAGGCGTGCAGCAACCTGCCCCAGCTGCATATCGCGCTCTATTGACTGCTGCCCTCCAGTTGACCTCTGGGAGATCTCACATGGTCCCCAAGGCTTTGGAGGTCTACTCAGATATGCTCAGAAGGAAGGTGACTCCAGACACTGATACTTTCGCCACACTGATTGGGCTTCTTGCGCGACGCGCCTTGGAATCAGCTGCGCAGCGCACTGAGCTGGATATCTGCCGGACGCGCTATGGTGGTGTTGAGCAACCCGGTCAATTCATCTTCCGCTCATCACAAGCCAGGTACACCATGCTACTGGAAGACAGCTCTTTGTCTATCGCTTTGAAGATGTTCAGTCGGGCACTGAGGAATCCTGACGATCAGCTGCCGAGCGTGGTCTGCGCATCTTTGGTCCGAGCCTGCGCTGAGCAAGGGCGTGTAGATGACATGGCTCAAGTCTATGACCATATGGTGTCACAGTCCATGAGTGTACCTGCGGATATCTTCCCGCCAGCTATTGCAGCTTTCGGTAAGAATGGCGACCTCAGATCCGCAGTTGAGATCTACGACGACTACAAGGCGCTTGCCATTGAGAATAACACAGGCCAATACGACATGGACCGCGTGGACAACGATGTCTACGCATCGCTGATCAAAGCGTACGGCCTCTCCGGGCGCCTCGAGGGCGGGCTCAAGTTCTTTGAAGGGCTGCAGAATGTTGATGACGTCAACGTTAACGAGCTTGAGGCCATGCGTGAGACAGTCACACTAAGTGCGCTGCTTCCTGTCGCACTTCAAGACACCACTGGAAGCGAGGCGGTCACACTCACAGCTTCGCTCAGTGGCAGAGCACTGGCGTCAGCATGGGCTAGCATATGCATCAATGCAGCCGATCGCGACGGCCTCAAGCAGAGCGAGCACGCTTTTGCCTCACTAGCACGCCTCTCCCAGGAGTTGACTTCACCAGCAGTGGCAATGCTAGCTATGCATGTCCGTAACAGCAACGTCGAGGCTGCGACACCGTACTGGACCATCATGGAGAATGCGCCTGCGACCTTGTCATTCGTCGAGCCGACCACCATGCGGACCATCTCGCTCCTCGCAGTCGGTCAAGCAGAACGTGGCCTTCGACAGACTCGCCGCATGTTCGGCCGCATCAGAGATTCGCAAGCAGAGAGCGCGCAATCAGAGACCGCCAACCGCATCGACGAGGCAATCGAGGTCATAGGGCGTTTCGCACTCAGCAGCTCATCGCCGATGCAGCCCGAGACTGGTGTTGAGCTTCTCCGCATGATGACTGACAATGGTGGTCTTGTAACCCCGATAGCAGAGCACGTAATTGCACGTTTCGGTCCTCAGCAGATCACCCGTCTTGGCCCTGCCGATATCGAATTCTTGCTTCGTGTGCAAGCCGGCATGGTCATTAACGAGTCTGCTGCCGATATTGCTGGTCCCGAACGCTTTGGCTGCCTACTGGAGAACCTGGTCGCAAAGTCCGTCATACCATCCGCAGAGACCGAGACAATCATCGAGAGAACGCTCGTCAACATCAACCGCACTAAGCTCTCGAGACTTTGGAATACATACCGATACCCACCGACGCCGGTCATGACTCCGGTCGCCTTCAGTCCTGTGCTGCCCTTCCAGCCGCCCGTCTTTGACGAAGCTTTCGATCCATACGCCGCCAAGACCGACGTCAAGGGCTCCAACATGATCAACGAGCTCCTCGAACGCCCTCACGGCCGCCGTCTGAGTGAAGCATTGACCAGGTTCCGCAACATGCGTCGTGTCGGGCGTGTGCCACGCATGTTCACGTACGGCAAGCTGATTGAAGGCGCTGCAAAGGAGAACAATCTGAGGGCGGCGACTGACATTCTGGAGATGGCTAAACAGGACGTTCCCTTCGACATGCGGTACCGCGTCGTACGCTTCGGCTGGCAGCAGATTCTCGACCAGATGGTGGCAGGCTGCTTGAATGTCAACCGACGTGATCTGGCTGCACGCTATCACCAAGACATGACTGAGATGGGCGCTGCACCTTCTGCAAATACGTTCGGCCTGTACATCACTACGCTCAAGGAAAACACGAAGACGTTCGATGAAGCCACTGAGGCAGTCAAGATCTTTCATCAAGCAAAGGCTGAGGGCGTTGAGCCCTCTTCATTCTTGTACAACGCCCTCATCGGCAAGCTGGGCAAGGCACGCCGCATTGATGACTGCCTCTTCTACTTTGCGGGAATGCGCAACACCGGGATCAAGCCTACAAGTGTCACCTACGGCACTGTCGTGAATGCACTCTGCCGCGTCAGTGACGACAAGTTCGCTGAGGAGATCTTCGAAGAGATGGAGTCCGCGTCGAACTACAAGCCTCGCCCGGCGCCTTACCACAGTCTGATGCAATTCTTCCTGACTACCAAGTGCAACAAGGCGAAGGTGCTGTCCTACTACGAGCGCATGCGTAGTAAGAACATCGAGCCTACGATGCACACTTTCAAGCTGCTCATCGACGCGCACGCCACGCTCGAGCCAGTCGACATGCGTGCAGCCGAGTCTGTTCTTACAGAGATGGCAGCTGCCGGTCTGCAGCCTGAAGCCGTACACTACGCCTCGCTGATCCACGCCAAAGGCTGCACTCAGCAGGACGTTGCTGGCGCGCAGACGATCTTCGACTCGGTCATCGCTGCTGGTACGACCCGCCCGCAGCCTTGCATGTACCAGGCTCTGTTCGAGTCGTTCAACGCGAATCACCAGGTCGAGCTTTCCGAACCTTTGCTGCAGGATATGCGCGCTAGACATGTCGAGTTCACGCCGTACATCGCTAATGCGCTGATCCATGGCTACACACTGCAGCATGACCTCGAGAAAGCGAAGGCGGCCTTCGGACTAGTGGCTGTGGCGAAGCGGGAGCCTAGCACGTACGAAGCGATGGTGAGGGCTTACCTCGCGGCTGCGGACCGTGAGGGCGCCAGGAGTATCGTGAAGGAGGCGCTGGGTCGTGGGTACCCCAGTGCTGTGGCTGGGAAGATTGCGGAGCTCGTGAGGTGAGCTCTGCCGGAGAGAGATGGGAAGGCAGTGTGTACTTTTGATGCATCTAGCGAGTGGCGTTGACGGAATGTTGAGCGCTGATCGCTTTGATGGTCGTGCTGGGAGGTTGTGGCAACGAGCAACGGCCGGTGTGTGTACTAACAGGATACCCAAGGGATCTCCACTCTTCTAGACTTGAGTGAGCGTTCTCTGTATGAGATACGCAGCGCGATGGCGCCGTCTAGAGCTTCATAGATGAAATGAAAGAAATTAATACCACCGCAGTTTGCTTTTGAACTGATGCGACTCATCCTATCCTGCGTTGCCTGCCTGTATGTGTGCAGAGCCCGGTATGTCTTGGCGCTATGTAATTGATGTCCGGTCTGCGGACAAGCTCTCTTTCCGACCTCCCAACATCGTACCCTCCACGACAACAACATAGCAAAAGACAAAATGAATATTACCATCGCCCTTGCTCCCTGTGAGGGTCGAACTCACGACTTCCGCATAGCTTCATACAGGTCCCGCAGGCGCATGTATAAGAACGGCACGCTAGCCACTGCGTCAAGGGAGCGACGGTAATTCCCGAGCGAGCTACCAGCGTTAATAGACTTTCTGAGTCTACAAACATTCGATTGCTGACTGTACGACTCAGCCTGAGACCAACGTTGCAGATTGAAGCTGCCCAAGTTGGCCATCATTGCACCTTGAGTGGCCAAGTCGACGATGATGAGAGATATCGGCAAGACGGTCCTGTCTCCGCCCGACGATGGGCCGACATCTGGACCGAATCGAGCTGATCGCGAAAAGTCACCTCTTCTGCAGCGGCATGACCGCATTTGGGCAAGCCCGTTTGGTCATCAGTCGAAGAGACCTCGACGCCAAGGCGAATCTGTATGCCGGCATCGCCATTGATGGGGATGGAGTTGTTGAAGAGCAAGAAGAGACGCTGCATGATCTTCTTCATAAGCTTTGGGGCGTAAGACGCAGGCAAGTCATAGTCTCCATTCTCCTTCTCGTTGACAGATCGTTCTCGTCTTCTCCCTATCTCCTCCTACACCGTGCACAGCAATGGCAACAACTCGAAGCAATGGCGCATCGTCGACAGTCGTGCTCGAAGAACCCATGCCACTGCACACGATTAGACCAAAGTCAGAACTACCAAGCATCTCGTTGACGGCCTCGTCAAGCAAGTCAAAGACACTAGACAGCGACGAGAACCCAGACGACCGCAACGAAACCCTTCCCTCGCCTATCACTGCATCAACCCAAGTCGAAACATGGAATAACCCAAAAGTCAACCTCTATCGCTTCCCAGCAACACTATGGGCATTCACGATCGTGAGTCGATCCCAATCTCAACTCCAAGCAACCCGTTGATTCAGTGCATAGATGGGCATGAACGACGCCTCCTATGGCGCCATAATCCCCTACCTCGAAAAATACTACTCCCTCTCCTACACCATAGTCTCTCTCGTCTTCCTCTCCCCTTTCGTAGGCTACACAGCCGCAGCCCTAACAAATAACGCAATCCACCTCCGCTACGGCCAACGGGGTGTTGCCTTCCTTGGCCCAGCCTGCCACCTCGTAGCCTACGTCATCATCGCCATCCACCCTCCCTACCCGGTCATGGTTGTGTCGTTCATTCTCGCTGGGTTTGGTAACGGGCTCGAGGACGCGGGCTGGAATGCTTGGATCGGTGCGATGGCGCATGCAAACGAGTTGTTGGGGTTTTTGCATGGGTTCTACGGGCTAGGGGCGACGATCGCGCCGTTGATTGCTACGACTATGATCACTCGCGGAGGGTTGCAGTGGTATTACTGGTACTACTGTATGATCGCCTTCGCAGCCACGGAGCTGGCGACGTCTCTGCACGCCTTCTGGGGAGCCACGGGGACTGCGTTCCGGGAGGCGAATCCGCGGACGAGCGATGAGGGCGGGTCGAGGTTGAAGGAAGCTTGCTTGGTTATGCCTGCTGCGAGGACGACGTGGCTTTGTGCGATCTTCTTGCTGGGGTACGTGGGGATTGAGGTGTCGCTTGGTGGATGGATTGTCGTATTCATGATCGAAATCCGCGATGGAGCGGCCTTTGCTTCAGGCATGGTCGCTACGGGATTCTGGCTTGGTCTTACGGTTGGCCGAGTGATCCTGGGCTTTGTCACGCCGCGCATTGGAGAGAAGCTGAGTATCGCGATATACTTGCCCATCGCAGCAGGAATGCAGCTGCTATTCTGGCTGGTGCCGCAGTTCTACGTCTCGGCCGCGGCTGTAGCATTGCAGGGCTTCTTCCTTGGTCCTCTATTCCCGGCCGCAGTGGTGGCCATGACCAAGCTGCTACCCAAGCACTTGCACGTCTCGAGCATCGGCTTTGTGGCAGCGTTCGGAGGCAGCGGCGGCGCCATACTACCGTTCGCTGTGGGAGCTCTGGCGCAAGCGAAGGGCGTGCAAGTCTTGCAGCCCATCATCCTGGCGCTGTTGGTCGCGATCTGGGTGGTGTGGATGTGCCTGCCGAGGATAGGAAAGAAGAAGGACTAGATAGATCGCGATAGATGATGCAAGGAAACAGATTCCGCACATTACCTTGAGGCTAAGAGCTTCTGGCTGCTGGCGCCAGTACTTTTACACGCACCCTTGAATCATATTCCTACATCCTTTTGATACCCCCCCCTATACCAATGCTCGATCTTTCTGATCGTATGCCCTCCATCGAAGCTCTACGACTTCTTCTGCGCCGCATCCGCAGTAGCCTTCTGCAAATCCGCGATATCCTTCTTCGCGTCTTTCGTCTCGCCCCGATCTGCCTTCAGCTATCGCTATCATTAGTACCCATCTCTAAATTACCAATCGCCAGAATTCTCAACATACTGCCACCTCGCTATCACTAGCCAACTCCTCCTTATACTCATTAGTCCCCTGCTTCTGTTTCCTAAGCTGCTCTTGCTTGTGGTGCTCAACTTCCTCGCCTCGGCCGTCGGCGTCTGGTCATCCGTCAGCAACAGGGCTACATCACGACTTCAATGGCTTTGTGTTCGCTTGTGTATATATTTGCGTACTTAATGAAGACTCCTTGGCCGCTGCCAATGGGCTTAAGCTCTGGAATGATCGCGCTGGGATGAAAGATCGCGCGGCTGTAGGGGCCCGGCGGGCGAGGGTGGTGCGGAGGGAGTACATCGTGATGATGGAGGGAGTGCGTGCGAGAAGCTGATAAAGGTGCTTGAACGACGTCGTGATGGAGGAGATTCAGGTACAACAGGAGCTAGAGGATTGATCTCAAGCAAAAGTCTGGCCTCGGCTTTGGACCGAATCGTCAGGCACGTCATGGTGAGCTTTCGCTTCATCAGAGTCCGTGCGTGCGCTTATAAGATGCCAGCATGTGGCGAGCATGTTGAGGTCTCGCTGCTGGTGTGTAGACTCCTACAGTAATGTACACTATTATTCGCTTACGTCAAGACCTCAGTCCTGCAAGTTCCTCCCTCCTCACCCTGAACTCCTCCTGGGCCTCCCGCTCCCTCTTCTTCACAAACGAGACTTCCTCGCGTAAACCCTCAAGCCGATCAACAAGCACAGCCTGCTCGACCGAGTCCACGCCCCTCAACGTCTCGCCTTGCACTCTCAGTCCCTCGAGAGCGAGCGCTGCTTCCCCGATCTTGGCCCGCAGCTTACCAGCGCGGTCGATGTAGCCACCATGTAGCTTGCGAAGCTTGGACTCCAATGCACTGCTGCGAGTCGCAGAGGTAGTGATCTCGCCTTGCGCGCGGTCGAAAGCAGCTGCCAGGTGAGCCGTGCTGTCGTCTTCTCCATCGTCGAGACAGCCAGGTAACAGTTTGTTCGCCCTTGCAGCAATCCACTCCCGCTCGAAAGCCTCCCCGAACTCAGCGCGATCGGCATCCTGGCCCATCTCGAGGATGACTTCCATCCTCGCGCGATCTGCAGTCTCCTCGTCCAGAGGCTCGACTGCAGGCACCACCGATGGGTTGGCAACACGTGAGCCCCCGAACTTGACCGCGTCAGCTGCAATCAGTCTCGCGGACTCTTGTGCTATCATCCGCTCAACCGGGTCCTCAATCATCTTCGCACTCTTCATCAGCGCGGCAAAGTCAACGGTACTTGGTCTTGGCAAGCCACGCTGCACGACCTTTGTCTGCTGTGCAAGATCTGCCCTCGCTGCGTCGTCCGCTGCTTGCTTAGCGCGTCTGTCACGCAGAGCCGCGTCCTCGGCAGCCGCAGCAGCAGCCTCTTCGGCGCTGAGCTCTGGCTGCTCGTCTGAGAGCTCAAGCTCGAAAGCCATTTCTTGCGGCCGCGGCAGGCTTGCGAGTGCGCCGCGGAGTGAGGTCTTAGAAGCTCGTTCTGCAAGCCGCAGGTCTCTGGGTGTCTGACTGACAAGTGCTGTGGATGGAGTAGCGTTGTTCAAGTTGAAGCCGTCTCGTGCAGGTGTCTGGCTTGGCCCGTTTCGAATAGGCGTTGCGCCGTTCAATTGTCGCAGTTGGGTCGCTAATGGGTTCGGGGTGGACGACATCTGCTTACTCGGCGCGACACCTTCATAGCCTGTCGTTGCAAAGCCTTCGTGGAGGGGAGTGTTCTCACCGCCGAAGAGTACTGATTGCGTCTCTGTACGTGCTCGAGCGTTCCGCAGCTCATTCGCAATGCGATCTTCCTCAACAGGTGCTTGCGGAGTACGCATAGGTGTAGCTCCGATGACATTACCGTAGCTGCCAACAAGACCTCTTGTGGTGTCATTGTAGCCCAGCGCACTAGCGCGATCTCCGGACAAACCCATCTTGACAATATCCTCGAGCTCGTGCTCACTGACTTGAGGCGCGGGCAGATTGAGTGCCCTCCGCTTCGAGCTCTGCTCTGCTTCTCGTATCCTCTGCAGCTGACCAGCCTTGGCCGCCGCAGCATATGCAGCAGTCCCACCGTCTTTCTCATTCTTCCGCCTCTTCGGCTCCTGACCCTCCACCTCCGCCGCATCACCCTTCCTCTTATTCGCCAACTGCTGTTTCCGCGGATCGAACATCTCTCTGGACTTCTCGTTCTGCGCCATCTCATCCTGCGTATCGTAGAACCCCGGCGCAGGCGTCTTCTCGAACGGAATATCCGCATTATAGTCCATCTGCCCCTTCTTCCTCGTCGTAACCTTGATGTTGATCCCCGCAGCCTTTAACTCCCTCCGCTTCTGCAACTGCGCCATCCTTTTGCTCTCCTCCAACTGCCTCTCCCTCGCCTTCCGCTTCGCCTTCTTACCCTGCGTGTTCGCCAGCCTCGCCCTAGCCTCACTCAACATCTCCTTCTCATCCTCATCCATATCTACCGTATCTGGCCGTGCAGGCCGACTCTCTGGCTCCGGGTCCAGCTCCCCAGGCCGCAATCGCCTCACATCATCCGCACTGGGTGCCGCTGACTCCCCGCCCTCCGGGCCCCCTAGACCCATCTCCTCGCCCTCCCTCGCCTCGGCCTCGTCAAGCAACTTCTGATACCGCTCCAGACACTGCGTCGCTGTCCTGCCGACGATCGGCGCAATGGTCCGCCATTGCGTGGGCATCAGCTTCGCCAGGTGTAGCAGCTTCTCGTCCT